TATGCACTAAGATTTAATTATTGTTTAATTTATTGGTTTTTAGGTTCCTTTCCATGCTCTGATGCATTTTCGGGTGTGCCAATGGAAGCTTGCATCACTCTTTACTCCAAGTGTAAGTATGCTCTGCATTAGCTTCTTCTGTTCCATTGGTTATTATGGGTTTTGACTTTTGAGAAATATACAACAATTTAAAACCAGGTTTTGTTGTTGATTGGTTCGGTTTGTATACCATATTTTGCTAAATACATATGACCATAAATAAGACCAAAGGAGCTGGGTTAGCTCCTTTGCCAGCTAGGTTGACTTCGTCTCCTCCCCGTCTTGCGGATTTCCGTTATTCAACGGGTATATTTGAGAAGTATACGGTACTAAAACCACAACCATTGATCTTAGCTTGATCGGTTCTTCCCTAGGATTTATACATAAAAGTAAATTGTTTTGTTTAATAATTTTCCATTGTATGAACTTTCGAGACAACAAGTGGATAGGAGTGTAATGTCATCAAAAGTCAAATCAAACACTGTGAGGAACATAATAGACAACGTTGGCTTCTTTCGCAGCTGCTCAACGTTGTCTCTCCCGATGGTCCCAACACTATCTTCTTCTTTTTTTGTCAACATTCAAACGTTGTTTAAAATAAATAAAAATGTTTAACCTTAATCATCTTTCTAGATCTTTAAATGCCTAAAACTTCAACTTAATCAGTCAGCAATCCGTCACGTTAATGATTTTGAAAGAAAGACTTTTGTTTTGTTTCGGTTAGTTTTGTTTGTTTAGTATTTTAATCACAAGATAACTCTAATTTCCCATTAGAGTTGTGTTAATTGTGTTGATTATGATTTGGCGTTCCAATTCTGATATTATTTTTATGTTGTAAATCTTAAACTGTTATGTTATTGTTCTATCTTCCTATGTGAGAAAAAAGTAAAATGTTTTAAAATTTTGACATGGATAATAATATAATTGTAAATCTATAATAATTATATTATCATTTTATTTATATTTTTCAAAAAGAAATATATTTATCTTAATAGATTTAATAAGATAATGTCAAATATAGTTATAAATCTAAAAGAGTTATGTTATTATTCCATCCTTTTATGAGAAAAAAGCAGATATTCTCTTAAACTTTTAAATTAACGTGGATAATAATAAATAAATGATAATTTTACTAATATGATAATGATTCGGTTTTAATCTTACCAAAAAACAAATAATGATTCTGTTTTAAAAATATATAAATTTTCTTTGTTTAGTTGTAGATATTGTCAAAAAAAAATTCTTAGATCCTCCACTGCCTTAATTTTATGTAAATACCTTGCTTGATATTTAATTTTGATTTGATATCTCCTTGCTTTTTTTTTCGGCACTAACCATTGAATTTTTTATACTGCCATTTAATTCTTGCATAAAAAATAATAATTAATAGTAGTGTTTATTATGAATGCAGGTTTGTTTTCCATAAAAACTAGATTGGATTTATGGAAGCACGTCATTGTTTCCAGTGCGAGGAAACAAATGTCGTATCACTGCTGTTGTGGCTCTTTAGTACTTTCGTTTCTGTTTATGGCTTTGCTTCGGTTGTATGGTTAGTCATCAATCATTGATCTTCTCATTGTTTGAATATTGTTGCATAGGAAAAATCTTCCTTTTTTATGAATCTTTCAAAAGTTGGATCCATGCTATTCTCAGTGATTGATTACGTTTATTGAATATTTGTGTAATAAATGATAATTTTACTAATATGATAATGATTCGGTTTTAATCTTACCAAAAAACAAATAATGATTCTGTTTTAAAAATATATAAATTTTCTTTGTTTAGTTGTAGATATTGTCATATAAGAAATTCTTAGATCCTCCACTGCCTTAATTTTATGTAAATACCTTGCTTGATATTTAATTTTGATTTGATATCTCCTTGCTTTTTTTTTCGGCACTAACCATTGAATTTTTTATACTGCCATTTAATTCTTGCTTAAAAAATATTAATTAATAGTAGTGTTTATTATGAATGCAGGTTTGTTTTCCATAAAAACTAGATTTGATTTATGGAAGCACGTCATTGTTTCCAGTGTGAGGAAACAAATGTCGTATCACTGCTGTTGTGGCTCTTTAGTACTTTCGTTTCTGTTTATGGCTTTGCTTCGGTTGTATGGTTAGTCATCAATCATTGATCTTCTCATTGTTTGAATATTGTTGCATAGGAAAAATCTTCCTTTTTTATGAATCTTTCAAAAGTTGGGTCCATGCTATTCTCAGTGATTGATTACGTTTATTGAATATTTGTGTGCTTCCTCTGCTGATATTCTAATTCATGCTTTATTCGCCGTCTTTGATACACTCCGATTAACCATTGTGGACCTCTAGAGTCTAATTTGCAATATTAATGCAAGTCTCTTTAACTTACGGATTATGAAGAGCATCCTAAGATCGTTTAATTTGATTCAGGCTTTATGTGGCGGCTAATGTTTGGTCTTGGATGTGAATTAGTCTATCATGTTTCTTGGAAGGTAGGAAGCAATCTTGATGTTTACCAAAATCCAATGTGCTCTTTTGTAGCTCAGTTTTGTAATATGTACTAATTATTGTAGAGGGAACCCGAAACAAAGAGACCATATGTATGATTTTATATGCGAAGAGAAGCTCCGAATTTGAAATCGTCTCCACTCCGGTGATATGTGGCCATGGTGTGAAGGAGTCTGGAGCCATGGTTATTTCAGATTCGGACATAACCGTAATTGTTAAACTAATAAAAATAAGATCAAACGTACCGGATTGATGAGAATTTTTGGTGTTCTTCGTCATGTTCTTCGTCGTATGGATCTAACAAAACAAAAAAAAAATATATATACCCCAGAAATTTTTTTTGTTTGTTAATAGAGAGAACCCACCAATTTTGTAGCGTTGATTGTGACATCGAATTGTTTGTCGGATGAATATAAGTCTCTAATCCGGAGACTGAAGTTGAACCCTAACAAAAACATATATTCATAGCATAAAATTCATAAATAAAAGGTAGAGCATCACATAGCTTTTTCTTCAAAGCCAACACATCTCTCTTTGTAGCCGAATTACTCTCCAGTTTGGTATATACTCAAATTTTCCAATGACTTCCTTCTCGAACCTGGAGCGTTTTTGCTTTGCCGGATATTTTTAGGATATGGCTCTTATGTATCTCTTGTGAGTCACTTGATATGTTGTTTAGGTAAAACTTTTGGTTTGAAAGAGAATGATCTACGACAAGCATAATCGGTTATTTGTTATATATGTGGCCATGTTCATATTGCTTTCTCCACAAGCAATTTTCCAGTTTTGTAGCATTCGATATTTAAATTTAAAAGCTTCAATACGTTGTATACATGTGTATGTATGTACATATATGAATTATTCTCAGTTGCACATAGTGGTTTCTAAGGGATAGATACTTGCTCTCTGTAACCCTCTCATTTTTAGTACCTATCTTCAGTGTTTACTTTGCTAAGAGCTTCTTGATAGGCATACATCTTTGCAATCTCAGATCAATATACTACAAATACATATACGATACAGTTAAGAAAATGATATTTCTCTTACAACTTTTTATATGGGTTTTATAAACAAGAGATCAACTGAAGGGTTACGCAGCGACCAATGGCGAAGGTAGAGACAAAGATACTACAATAGGGACGATAAATATGACACGATATATACAAAGGAGATGCCTGTTTCTATACCATTGAAATTTTACGTACATAACTACTTCAAAGAGCAAGATGACTTACTTGATAAGTAAGAGATATGGTAAGAGATTATATTTTTCAATTATTTGTTTCCAACTACGAAAAACTCCAGTGACATACAATCTAAAAGCATGAATATGTCATAAAATCAAGAATACAACAAAAACCAGGAAGATGGGCCCAAATTAAAGACCGAAACTGGACGTGGGGAACCCACGGACAGTGGCGGTCGGAGCGTTACAAATATGAAAGAAACGAGGAAGCGTGAATATGTCATAAAACCAAGAGTACTACAAAACCAAGAAGATGTGCTCAAAGAACGAAACTGGACGTGGGAACCCACAGACAGTGGCGGTCGTGGCATTACAAATATGAAAGAAACGAGTAAGCATGAATATATCATAAAATCAAGAGTACGACAAAACAAAGAAGATGGGCCTAAAGACCGAAACTGGACGTGGGGAGCCCACGGACAGTGGCGGTCGGGGCGTTGCTAATATGAAAGAAACGAGTAAGCATGAATATGTCATAAAATCAAGAGTACGACAAAACAAAGAAGATGGGCCTAAAGACCGAGACTGGACGTGGGAACCCATGGACAGTGGCGGCCGTCGGGGCGTTGCTAATATATTGTTGGTTTAAATATATAGATTTTTTATATTTAATTTTATTATATATATCAAGATATAAACACTAATAATTGTTTGTGATTCAAAAACACTATTAATTGTTGATTACTAATAATATATATCAAAAGTTATAGGGTTTTACCATAATTCTATATTAATGTCGTTATAAAAATTAGACTCTTGACAAAATTAAATCAATAAATATCCCTAACTTGATAACCCTAAATATTGATTATTAATTCTGGTCTTAATCAACATACAACCCCGCGCTGGGCGCGGGGACCTCCCCTAGTTTTGTAAGTTAAAAGTGGTCATATACTCAGGAGCTAACATACACTAAAATCAGGATCAAACCGGATCTAACATTCTTCCTAAAAAACTAAAAGAGAACCGAATCTGACATTCTCGGTTAAGAGTAATAAAAATCCCGAACCGGGGGAAATTCAGCAAAAGGCAAAAATGGAAATAAGCAGTTAAAACAAAAAAAAAGATTTCCGGAAGTAAGTTCGGGGGATTGAACCCGACGTGAATCGAACACGCAACCTTCTGATCTGGAGTCAGACGCGCTACCATTGCGCCACGGATCCGGATGTTAGATTCTCCACTTAATTCTATTTAATCAAAGTTAGAATTATAATTAGAGTAGTTCTTCAAATGGTGAATTTGGTGTTGTCTTTCTTTTCAATGATCGATCCAAAAGTGTATTGACATGAATCGTTTCTGTTACATAAAAATGGCATTTACTCTCTAAACTTTTAGAACAACTCTTCCATGAAGAAAGAGAAAAAAAAGCTCATCTATTTGCAATGACTAAGTTTATTTCTAAGTATGAAGAAAAAAATGTTGGATCAATCATCATTGGAGCCGAGAAGTCACAGTGATGAAGGTATCTTCAGGACAAGGGATCGTTAAGCCACCCATTGGATGATCGAATCCAAACTCTTCCTCGGATTTACTGAGAAGAGCTTGAAATGAAGGTTGGTTCAAGTATGAGACTGGGACCAAGTATCTCTTCTTCTGGCTCTCTCCTACGTACACCGCAAGAAACCCCTTTGGCGCTGCTGAGGCTGTTGTTTTGCTCATAGAAGCTGCTGCAGTGGAGCGGCTTATAATCTTCTTTGCACCCAATAGACTTCTCACCAAAGCCATTTCTATTTTTTTTTTGCTTTTGAATAAAAAAGTTTGAATTCTTTTGAAGCTTCTGAAGATGTATGAAAAGATTCAAGTAATTGGATTGCTTGTTGTTGGTTGATGATAGAAGCAAGCAATGGGGTTATGGGTGTATATATAGAAAGATCAATGAATGAGTTGAAAAACCTCTCTGAAAAATCATTGAAACTTGTGGTGTACAAGTGTGGGACAGACTAGAACAGATTATCACATGGTTCTGTCTTAACCATCTGGAAAAGATGCATTAATGAAATTTGTCTACTTGGATCATCTCCATATGCAATTCACAAGGCCTTGTTTTCTCAATGTTTCTGAGATAAGACGTATGCCCTATATTTTCAAAAACAAAGACAGCTAATTCTGTGATGATTAGGTGGTTAGTTTTTTGTCCTATAGTGTACTCTAATCTCTGCGGTCGAAATGGATTTAATAAGAATTTGAAGTGGGGATCTGAATGTTATTCAACAACAGAATAACAAGTCCATGTCACTAAGTTGTTCTTTGTTCATATCCACATATGACAAATATAAGAGACTTAATATCTCACTTCTTCTCTTCATTTATTTATTATACAGACATGGAGAAAACAAAGTGCAGATAATACTTCTCAGCTTTCATTGATTGTCGATTTGTCATCTATCATACCTAGAAGACAGAACCATGTGAGAATCTCTTTATGTATGTCCCATACATTCAATGGTTTCCAGGGTGGTTTTGAGTCCTTCGTTGATCTATTTATTATTTATACATCCAGAGACAGAGCCAAATCAAAATACCAAGTAGTAAAGCAATTTGAACCTTGAATCTGCTCTTAACCTTTATTAAGAAGCTTCAAATTTAGATTTTCCAGAAACAAGAAATGACTTTCTTCAGAGGTATCTTGGGTGCAAAGAAGCTTATCGGCTTTTCTGTAGAGACTACAAGCAAAAGGACAATTTCAGCACCAAAGGGGTTTCTTGCGGTGTACGTCGGCGAAAACCTGGTCCAGAAGAAGAGATATTTGGTGCCAATCTCATATTTAAACCAGTCTTCATTTCAAGCTCTTCTCAGTAAATCTGAGGAAGAGTTTGGATTCGATCATCCAATGGGTGGCTTAACGATCCCTTGTCCTGAAGATACCTTCATCAATGTGACCTCCCGGCTTCAATGATGATGTACTCAAAAGAAGAAGAAACTAACATTAGTTAGAGATAAAACTATTCATTGTAAATAGGTTAGATTTTTCCCTCTTTCTTTGTGAGAAAGTTGTGAGACGTATACATGTTTGTGTTTCTGGTAGACACAAACTAGATAGATCAGTGAATGATCTAAAATATTTTGAAATAAATGTGGATCATTTGAGAAAACAGAGATTCACAAGGTTTTGTCTTCCATATGCTAATAAAATGAATGTTAAAACAAAACTAACAAACAAGGAAAGCTAAAAGGAGCCATCAATTTTTCCTCTGTGTTCGTTATATATATTTGAACGTGGTTAACAATGGCTGACAAATTCTGTTCTTGTGATTATCTGCTATCTTTTGTTCTGGTCTTGAATGTGAAGTGGCTCTCTGTGGCCGAAGAATATGGTGTCTGCAGAATGCAGATAACATGTAAATGTAATCGATGGTGTAGAATTCTTCAAGTTTAGGAGAAAAAGTCTTTGCCACAACAAGAACAAAATCAAAATTTCTTTTTCGTTCTCTTACGTACTTACAATCCTTAGTTAGATTGTTTGTATTATCTTCTCCATATTATCACAATTCATGCCATTCTTTCTAAGAAATTTGGTCATTAGAATCTATTCTATATGCAATAGCATGCATATGCACATTATAAAATCAAGAAATGATCAAATAAAGTTCACAAGAAAAATCAAAGACATAAAGACAAGTTTCATAAATTTGAAGTGTCACTTGAACGGGAAAACAAAGAAAGAAAAAAAAAGCATTGACGAAGAGAATTTGAGCGATGAAGCCGCTAACTTTTCAAAGACACGAAAGTCTCAATGTGATTTGGGAAAACATCTATGTTGAATGTTTGGCTGTGTAAACTGTCGTAGTTACCAATTCCATAACGGCATCTAAATTCATCACCAAAAATTCCTTCAAATAAGTCTTCTCTAATACTATTACTCCTTGGATCGAAATATAGAACATAAAACGAGTTAGTCAAAGCCCTTGGTGTAAAAATAAACTCACCAGCATCAGTAACACCCTTTAACTCTAGGTTAGAATTGTTCCATCCTCTCGTAGAAGGAGGTACACTAAAGCTTTTATACGTCCATTCGTGTCCATCTGCATCTTCCAAAATCCATAGCCCCACATATATATTAGGGAGATATGTAGTATAAACTAAGGCCAACCTTCCCTCATAAGGTACTATCATATAAAAATGTGAAGAGCCCTCGGGAAAGTTTATAGGATTGAACTTTTCAGATCTTACGTCAAAGCTCATTAGACAACATTCACCACCAACACCAAAAAAAGCTTTATAATAGAGAATTCCATTAACGCAACCAAAATATCCCGCACAAAAATGAGAAGGGAGATCTTGGGAAAATATTCTCCATGATTCTTGAGCACCTAATGTAAGAACCCCATGCTGTTTTGAATATAAGCGCAGAACTTTGTGTTTACCTTCCAATGGATCGTATCCTAAAAAGGACCATCCGTTTCCCCGGAGTTTTCTATTGGGCTTTGGCAAGGGTAAAAACTTGTTTATAGTTGGGTTCCAAACTATGGATCCTTTTAATACAATCAAGCCCTGGACGGATTCAGATGAAGTATTACAGCTCCAAGAGTAGTTTGTGTTTGTCACCTGATAACTGTACACCGGATAATAAGACCGGTCATGATTCTGGTTTTGAGGAAAGGAGAAAACGAATCGCTTTTTCTTTTTTAAGAAGGTTAGGAGAAGGCGCCGTGGCCGACTCGAGAATGAGTTGATAAAACTTGGAAGTGTAGACTGTGTAGTGATGGAAGACCAGATTTTCGACACACACAGAAACCTCACAATTGATTTTACAGGAAGTCTTGAGAGTATCACCAAGATTAGATCGACCGGAATCGGGTCTTGTTGATCATTACTTGTTGTTCTCTCGATTTCTTCCTTGTTCTTCTCTTGTTCGTCCATGGCAGCTTGCTCAACAATAATACCTTGTTGGATTAAAACCCTACTTCCTTCTTCTTTTTATATTCCCCTTCGTGTTTTTTTTTTCATAATTAAATCCTTCACAAAAAATGTAAAACTAATATTTTATTAAAACCTGCTATTTTTTTTTTTTGGTAATGTTAAAACCTGCTATTTTTTATATAACCAAAAATATATTATTAATTTGCCTGTAAAATTTATCATTTTTATACTATTATATATATGAAATTACCATAATAGAGATTGATAGCTAGCATAAATGTAGGTAATAGTCTTCAGAGCAGAGCCCACATTGTTTATAAGACATGCATGTTAGGAATTGAGATATATTCAAACTAAAGAATGATCAAATTATGCCAAAGCCCTACAATGGAAACGGATAAGGATTACAAGAAGAATCTATCAGAGAATCATAAACTTGCATATAAGTAGCTATGGTTCTTTCTATGGAAAACAAAACAAAGCCCTTCTCAAAATCAGTTGTTATGATTATTGGTCTCTCACATCCAAATTGAGAGTAAACTATATAGTGTTATAACACTGTGTATAAGGGACATGTCACATATGTTATTACATTCATTACCAAATGTTATTGAACTGAAGGCTCTTAAAACTGCTCATGGTATCAAAGTTCATGGCACAAAATAAATTCACTAGCATTAGTAATAGACTAATAGTCCCAAAATTTTTTCTCATAAGGTACCATAATAAAACCACTCTCTTGGTCTTTCACAGAGATCCATAAGGCTAATCTTCGTATTCTCTAAGCTGTAATCTTCTTATGAAGATTTCAAGTATTTCGTATGTACTTGTTTAACTTTAGGACAAGAAGTCTCTTTTCTATTTTTGAGAAAAGGATCACATGAAAATTGCTAGACATAGAACAGAAGAATCTTAGGTTCAATCTTAAACACATATTACAGTCTCTCTATGTGTAGTTTTCTTCTATTACATACCAACTATAGCTTGTTTATAAAGTATCCAGATTAAAACATATTGGGATCTCCAATGGGATCAATCAATCAGTGGTTACAAAAAGGATTTAAAGAACACTCATGAAAGCTCTTAAAATGAAATGAAACTCTCAATGTGATTTGGTAAAACATAAAAGTCATTCACAAGATCAAATCCAAGTCTATCAGGTTGCCAAATCTCGTTACCCGTAATTCCTCGAAACTTAGTCTCTCTTATACTGCTTTTCTTCGGGTCAAAATACACAACACAGAACGATCCATTCAAACTCACTCCTGTATAAATAAGCTCACCACCATCAGTAACACCCCTAAGATCCAACCACTTCAGATATTTGTTAGGAGGAAGACTTAAATGAAACTGTCCATACGACCACTTTTTATTCCCTGCATCCTCCAAACTCCATATTTCAACAACAGAGCTAGTGTCACTTATCAAAGCCAACCTTCCCTCATAAGAGACCATAAGAAAGCGGTCATAATCACGCATCGGAAAATCAATCAGTTTAAACTCTTCATATCTGAGATCAAAGCTAATTATAGCATGCCTTGGAGCCATATCAAACGCTTTATAGTAGATTACTCCATTAATGCATCGTCCAGTGTCTTTAGTAGGCCAATGGAAAAAGCCACCTTTGGTTACTACTCTCCATGATTCTTGAACTCCCAATGTAAGAACTTGAGTGTTCCATCCTCTGACAATGCACAATGCTTTGTATTTACCCTCAACCGGTTCATATCCCAAAAACCCTCCTACGTAGTATTCGTCTCCGTTGCCTTGAGGCTCAGGTAAAGTAAAGAATCGTTTCATGGTAGGGTTCCAAATCACGAGCTGTTTAGAACCTTCAAAGCAAATCAACCCGTGAACGGAATCAAGACGACGGATGAAACCATTCTTGGGGATTTCGATGTGATAATCTTCCACATAAGAATAAGTATTCTTGTGTTGCGGGGACGAGAACACAATCAGCTTGTCGTGTTTTCGGAAGATTAGTAGAACACACGGTGGTGATGTCTTCTTGGACCGAGTCTTGATGAACTCTGGTGTGGTGGTAATGAACGACCAGAGCTTAGAGACGGAGCGATATCTCACGATTGATTTGGCAGGAAGTCTTGAGAGTATCTCAAAGGTTATGTCGAAAGGAATCGAGTTTGACTGAGATTTGTGATTACCATGTGAGGATTGTCTTGTTTTCAATGTAGATGAAGATTGTCTTGTCCTCAATGTAGATGAAGATTGTCTTGTTCTCTGCTTTTTCTCTTCTTGTTCGTCCATGGCCGATCGTTCCACAATCTTGCTTTCTTTAAATTCACCTAATTAGTTCTTTCGTTTTCTTTATATTAACGCTTATTTGTTCTTTCGTCTGCTACTATCATGCGTTTTCTATGTATATATATATATATATATAGTCCGCTAGATGAATTAGAAATAAGTCAGGTAAACTTGAAAAGAAAAAAATGGCAAACGGAAATTTAGTAAATGGTAATGATACAAATTAATATTTCATGATTTCTATTTTAGTAAACTTAAAACTCTTTGGTGTTTGAGGTAAGGATGATGAGGTAATTAACACCCTTCAACTTCCATTTTTTGTAAGGAACTTAACAAAAGTGTTTATATGGCCGTTTTGTGGTTTTCTGCATCCTCCAAAGTTCATAATTCAGCATCAGAGCCAATGGAACTTAACAAAGCTATTCTTCCCTCATAAAATACAAAAAAAAAAAAACTGCGATTGCCATAATCCATCGGCTATTTAATAAAATTGAACTTTTAATTTAGATCAGAGATCAAAGCTCATTAGTCATTACATATGGCATGCTTTAGAGTCAACTTGTGATCTTCAAGAACAGAATTTCATATGGTTCTTATAGATGTTAGTTAATCTTGATGGACTGTGGAGCAATTAACATGGTTCTCTTCTTCATGTTTTGTAATTATTTTCGTTGTCCTACTCTCAAAACTAAAAGAAGAAGTTCTGTTTATGATTTACCAAACTTTTCTACATAACTCTTAAGTTGGGACTTGAAGTTATTCAACGTTAGAACAAGAAGTCTCTGTCGTTATGCAGCAAAATAGTTAAGTCTCTTTCTTTACATGCTTGTACTTTCTTTCTTTCTTGGTTAAGGTATAAACTTATTTAGCATGCATGTTTATATTATCTTCCTCCATATCACAATTCATGCCATTGTTTCTAAGAAATTTATTCGCTTTCATCATTTCATGCCATTGTTTCTAAGAGATTTATTCGCTAGCTAGCGTCTATATATATATATATAAAATATAAAAAGGCACACAAAATCAAGGAATAGTCAAATAAAGATCACAAACACCAAAGGCAAATCAATTGTAAAAGAATGATCAAATAAAGATGACAAGAAAAATCAAAGATATAAAAAGAATTGTAATCAAAAGTAAATTTCACGGATCATTGAGCGATGAAGGCGCTGCTTTAGAAAGACACAAGAGTCTCGATGTGGTTTGGATAAACATACATGTTGAATAAAGCGTCTTTACCAAGTCCATAACGGCACCTAAATTCATCGCCAATAATTCCTTCAAAAAAAGTTTCTCTAATACTGTTTCTCCTCGGATCAAAATGTAGAATATAAAACGATTCAGACAAACTCGGTGGAGCAAAAATAAGCACACCAGCATCACTAACACCCTTGAAACGTAGATGTTTCCTTCGTCTTGGGTTTATCTCAGAAAGAGGTAAAACAAAGTGTTTATGCATCCATTCGTTGTTGGAGATACAATCTAAGTCCTACATCGGAAGTTTGATGGGACAATTAATAATATATAAAGGGTTAGGGCCAATCCACTAATTGTCAATTGGTTTTTAGTTGGAAGCCCATAATTAGCCCAAATTTAACAGTATGGGTATATATACTAGGGAGATGTGTGTTGCTAGCTCTAGCCGAAAAGAGAGAGAGAAAAATGAATTGCTCTGTTTCGGTGCTTTTGTAGGCAAGTCGAGCTGCTTGCTGGAACACAGGTTTAGTTGTTCTAATACTGGGTGTAACTAGATATTGTTTGGTGTCGAACTAAGAGGTTCTTAGTGTCGTGTAATTCCAGTTAGGCAAGGTCTTGTTGTAAAGATTGTCTAAGTGAATCTAGTTATTGTTTTGAGGACGTAGGCACGTTGCCGAACCTCGTTAATTCTCGTGTGCCTTATCTATCTCTGCTTTTTCAATTAGTATCAGAGCGGGCATCTGTAAAGAGTCTGACTCCATAAACGGGTGAGGATCCTGAGGAAAGAGATGGATGATATATTTCGAGAATGGTTGGCAGTTAAAAGTCTTGCGTTAGATGCTGAAAACTATGGATATTGGAAGCTGAATATGAAGGCAATCATACAAGGTATTGATGAGGATGCTTGGACGGCTGTGGAAGATGGCTATGAAGTCCCAAAAATTGAAGAAAGAGACGGTTCTATTGTCACTAAACCAAAGGCTAAATGGACAAAGAATGAGAAGACTATGTCAAGGTATAATGCAAAAGCTTTATCTACTATTTTTACCTCGGTTAACAAGAATCAATTCAAGTTGATTCAAGGGTGTGAATCAGCCAAAGAAGCGTGGGATAAGCTAGAAAAAGTTTTTGAAGGAACAAAAAGTGTGAAGATATCAAGAATTGACAGGCTAGCTTCTCAATTTGAGAATCTACGAATGGATGAGCACGAAAATGTTACAGATTTTAGTGCTAAGCTGTGTGCGATTGCTAATGAAGCACATGTGATTGGGAAGACGTACAAAGACAAGAAGCTTGTCAAGAAGTTGCTGCGATGTTTGCCTAAGAGATTCGAGGCACAAAAGGCGGCTATGGAAACTGCTTTTAACACGGATGAGACCCCATTTGATGAAATAGTTGGGAGACTACAAGCGTATGAGATGGACCAACAGGATGTCATTTCAAATAGTGTCAATAGACCAACTCTATATGAGAATGATGACAAGTTGAGAATACAAAATTTAGAAGAATCTATGAGCTCACTTGTGAAGATGTTTGGGAAACTTCTTAAAGACGTTAGAAAAAGGGGTAAGAACTCTTTGGAAAATGATCATGGCACATACAAAAATGTGGGAGAAGGAAGACGTGGTATACAGTGCCATGAATGTAGAGGATTTGGACACATCAAGTCTGCATGTCCGAGTATCAAGAAGAAGAAAAAGGTTCGTTGCTTAGGATGTAACGGTTATGGACATACAAAATCTGAGTGTGTCGACGGTGTGAAGATAAAAAGAAATATCTATGAAGACTCTAGTGAGAGTGAAACAGATGATGAAGAGGAGTTAGCCAACTTCGTGGCATTACCTTCATTCGTGGAGCACAAAGAAGGAAGCGAAATATTTGATTCTATATCAACTACTGAAACAAGTAGCGAATACTCCAACACAAGCAGCGATTTAGAAAGCGATCAAGAGGTGGATCTTCAAGCTGAATTCAAAAGTCTTTATGAGAGTTGGGTTAAGAAAAGTAAAGACTACATGGTACTAATCGATGAGAAGATGTTGATGGAAAGTAAGATGAAGAATATCGAGAAAGAGCTAACTCTTGAGAAAGAAGAATCAGAGAAATTGAAAATCAAGCTTGCTGAAAATCAAAAGTGTTCTTGTGCTTTGAAGAATGAAGATCATGAAGTTGTTCATATGCTAAACGTGAAGGAGGAACTTGCAGCAGAAAAAGAAAAATCCAAACGGTTGGAGGATGAACTCATGCAGAATGAAAAGTACTTGAGGATGTTGAATAATGGAACAAAGAACCTAGATCAAATACTAAGCATGGGAAGAACAGAGAAAACAAGATTTGGTCTTGGTTATCAAGGAGGTACATCTGATTCAAAGACTATTTTTGTTCAAGAGAATCTGTCGAAATCTGCTGGAACAAGGGAAAACCTGTTGGAGACGACCGCAAAAAGTCTCATCATAACTCCGATGGATGAGCATAATGTACAAGTCAAAAGTACCAGTCCATGTATTTCTGATGAGAAGAAGATGAGTTATGTTCGTGGATGCAACAAAAGTTCATCAAATTTAAGAATATGTGTTGTTAGCTGGAACAAGCTGAATTCTGTTGGAACTGAAACCCAGAAGAGTCACCAAAAAGTGTTTTGTACTTCAAGATGCTTTTATTGTGGAAAGAAAGGGCATATCAAGGCCTACTGCTATAAGTTCCTTGACAAGATTAGATGTACATTAAAGCAAAAGAAGTTTGTTCAAGATTCAAGGAGATTTCAAAAGGTTTGGATTAAGAAGATGGATTTGTATGGTGATGTGTCTCATAAGTCATCAACCAATACTCCAAGGAAGATGATGTACTGCACATGTAGGTGTTTGAAGCACATGTCAAATGATCAAGCAAAGTTTGCGAAGAAAAAGTTCAGATTTAGAAATGAGAGTTATTGGAGAGATCCAAGTGGAAGACGATTCTGATCGAGGAGAATATTCCAGCAAGTATTTTTTTAACAAAGTTTTATCACTCAAGCAGGGGGAGAATGTAGAAGATCCATGGAGAGTAGAAGATCCATGGAGAGTTAATTATCACAGTGATATATGATTAAGGGGGAGTTTGTATATCATGATTGTTGGTGTCGGATCCCGCACCAGAAGTACGAGACCAACCAAAGATTGCCACGTAATCAAGATAATGGCCCATAAAGGATGAAGCCCATTGAACCCGTGGGCCGAAGGGACGGTCGAAGTGGTTGTCACCATCTCGAGAATTCGAAGTGATTGCACTGAGACACGAGTTCGGTGTAGAAGACACGGGTAAGTCGGTTCAAGGACACTTGGGCCAAAAGAGGCGAGGCCCACGAAGATCAGAGTCAACTCAAATTCAAACGTTGAGCATTAAAGCCGAAGAATCAAAACGGACACATTTAAGAAGAAATAATTGTACTTAATTACTCATTTTAATGTCGCTCATCTATGTATAAATATAGAGGCCAATGGCCATGTAAAGGGGATCTTCCTCTCAAGAGAGAAATACTATAGCAATTTTCATATCAATTTAAAAGTTTTTACATATTCATTTTTGTCCCTCAAGAATAATCTTTCCCACTTAACAAAATACTTGAGTGTGTGAATCCGACATCCATATTTTGGCGCCGTCTGTGGGGAAATCAGGATTCTTGAGTTGTCAGATTTCTTCTTTTCTACATTTCCGAGATAAGCGACAATGTCCGGAGGAGACGCCGTTGAGACATCATTGGCCGAAACCCTCAAAGCTATGCAGCAAATCATGTCGGACATATCACAAAAGTTCTCGGATGTGGAGAAGGCCGTCGATACGTTGCAAACATCCCAGGTATCTCTTAGTCAAAACGTCAATAATATACAAACTCGTGTTCGCTCTTTAAGTGCAGGAAA